AAATTACTTGTACCTGATGATGACAAAACCTTTTCGAAACGTTGTATATTTACTGTTATGTTAAACTTACATGAAGTTTTTCTTCATTACCCATTCAAGCCGTCTCCAACCATTATTTTCCTGTAATGTTTGTCAACGTTGATATTTCTAAGGCCTTATCAATAGTTTTACTTTTTCAATGTACATATTAAGTTCATCTGTGAACATAATATTTTTATAATATTGACTCTTATCATTTAAACACTTATAACCCTCTACATTCTATAATAGGATATATGATATGTATAGACTTATATAATATATATACTCATTATAAAGAAAGTCCCGAGCTCTATACTAAAATCCTGGGATAGATGTAAGTTCACTAGGCGACGAATAAAATAGTTTAAGAAATATAAAATAATTATGAAAAAAAATGTTATGTAGACTGCCCCTGTAAAGTGGATACTATGATTGATAACTGTTAATGTCATAAGTCGAAAAGGATACAATAGACTTCTCAGCACTAAAATGTCGACTGACTTTGTTGATTTGGAGTAAATAATATTGTAAAATGGTGTTATCTGTATTATTTATGATTGCGTTTTATCACGACGTTTATCTCAAAAGTCAGAACACGTGTCTCTCTTGACTTTTATCACAAAGCGATAGTCTTCATGTTATATACCTGTTTTTTAAAGTGTTTCTCCTCATCTTAATTTCTGAGTGTTTACGACGTGTTTGCAGCGATCATATATCAATTGCTATCAGGTGGTCGTTTAGGCTACTAACCATGACAGCAAATCTTAACCTGTCTTCAAAGAAAATAAACATTTTGGGAAAAAAAATAATAGAAAAAATTTCACTTTCTACTATTATGTATATTTTTCAAAACTGATTTTACAGGAAAAACAAAGAAACTTTCTGTATGATAGAGCTTATAACAAGCTTCATATCAGAGAATGCGAAATACACATGTAAAAACTATACGGTTGATATCTAGTTTGCCATTGTGGCTCGTTTCATCTACCTTACTGATAGTAAAGCTAATCGCTAGAAGTATATCTCTTTTAAGCTTTCAATGATTTTGTTACTGTGCCACCCCTAAAAACTTACGTTGTATATCTGTTGTGAGTTGTACATATAATTCATTCTGTGTTACATTGTGCCTTGTTTGTGAAAGAATTGTATTTTGTTTTTGAGTTGTGTATGAAACTTCTTAATTAATCTGTAATAAGAGTTTCATTTCATCGGAGTAAACATATTTTGCATAGTTTACTTTTGTACAACTGGAAATGGAATTTTTTTTCTCACCGTCTGACCAGTATTCTGAAACACGTAACTGTCGGGCCGTGTTTATTTCTTAATCATTTCGGTGTTTATACGCAGAGTGTCGCTCTTCAGAGTTTGCTTTTACCCAAAATATGCGACGTACGGCTAGGACTAAACGAAATAGTTTGTAACAACTTGGATGATTTCAGGGAGGAGGAAAAATTAGTACAAAGACAAACATCCAACTTAATTTTGTACAGTGTTCTAATTGTTAATCTTCCCGTGGCGTTTTTGATCACCTTTCTTGGTCTATGGAGTGATAAATATGGCCGAAAACTGTTAATTGTTTTGTCGTTATTGGGAACGTTCCTACAAAGTGTATGTATATTGATAAACGTCTTGTACTGGGCCTTAAACCCTAAATTTTTGTTTTTGGCAGACACTGCAGAGGGTTTGGGTGGAGACCTAAAGATGATCAATATGGCTTCTTACGCACTTATGTCGGATATCACTGTGGTTAAACATAGGACCTTTGGTATAATGTTTAATGTGGTAGATTGTGAATGGTATAATGTTCTTGGGAACGCCTATTGGACTTTTCATAGGTGGCGCATTAACAAAACATTGGGCTACATTCCACCCATTTTAATTAATATCGTTTGTCAGCTGCCGTGTAAAATATATGTGATGCTACGGATAAAGAACAGAAAAATGCACATGCCTACGAAATATGTATTTTATTTTATCCAAACAGAGAATATTGTAGAAGAGTGCCGCACAGTACTTAAACAGCGAGAGAATAAAAAACGCGCAGAAATTATGTTTTTAATTGCCCGTTTTTCTGCAAGATTTTTTGCAATGCAAGATAAAAGATTTGTTTTGATTTTAATATGTTGTCGCATTCATGTCCCTTTAGGAAAGCAACCAAGTTTGAGCAGAATTTGAAGATTTAAATTCTTCATATTCTACTACGTTAAATTTCTATGTATCCTACTCTCCTCATTTTATGTAGTATAGAGCAATTTTTACATATCTAATAATTATCAAAGTAGCAGTGCACCTGAATACATCAGAGTAACTCTGAAGAAAAAGCTATTGGTTATAAAACACCTAGAACCAGAGAGGTATTTTTCACTCTAGTAGAACATCTTACCTTATATAATTTAAGAAGGTGTAGAATATATACTGAGTAAGCTAAACTTGGTACAAACAAATTTTCCCCGCTAACTTTTCACTTAGGTGTGAATAATGTTCTTTAACTTAACAAAAAATTCCAGAAAAATGTCTTTATAATTCTTCTTATTGTTATTATCTTTGTAAGTTTGGCTACATTACTCCGACGGGGACATCATACTATAGAATGCCTACAAGTTACTGCTTAACCGAAATACTAGAGCATAGAGCAACCAAAGCGGCATCTAACGAAATTGCTAAAGCAAAAGAAACAATTTGAAATAAAAAAAGTTCAAAAATATATAAGAATAGAATCACGTCAATAAATTGCGTATTAATAATGTTAAAATATCTAAATCACAAGTTAGCCATACCAACTAAAATTAATTAACTTGAGCGAAACAAAATTATTTAACATATTTACCTGTATTGATTAAGTATTGAGTTCAATTTTGGCCTCAAGTCCAACGGAGTTTTTCTTTACCCCTTATTAATAAATACTAAATAACATTCAATGGATAATTGGCCGTTGAAGGCTTTGGTAAATGAGCCAAAAGCTCACAGAAATAAATATATTATTTTTTTACGTTGAGAAATATTCTTGAGTTATTGTTAAGGGTAAAATTTCACGAATTTCAAGTTTTATTTTGAAATAAACTACAAGAAAGTAGCTTCTTTTTTTTCTTCTCACAAACAGCAAAACAGTTTTGTGATACCAGATGAATCCATTTCCTTGTTCAAAATTTACAACGATTTTAAGATCCTTCTAAATCGAACAATGTGATATTTGAAAAGAAATTAAAAACAACAAAATTGTATCCAGTTGAGGCCACCATAATTATAATATACCGAAAAGTGATGTCGGAAAGCAGTTCGTATTAGAAGTAACTAAGACATTTCAAACACAGAATAATAGCAGCAACCAATAATTCATAAGAAATAAGGTGACAAGTCTCAACTCTCTCAAACTGTAACACAAGTGTTAACAACTGTTTTACCCGGTAGCAAAGTTTCTATGTTGGAAACAGCACGTACATATTATGAACATTCATGAAACACATATTAGGTAATTAAATCTTATTAATTGGGAGTAAATAATTTTATTTGTTAATTTAAATAATGCTGCTATGTATAGGTTATATTTTTCATACCAGAGTAGAGGAGAATAGGATATGTAATGCTCCCTAATGGCACAGCGGTATGTCTGCGGACTTACAACGCTTGAATCCGGGTTTCGATACCCGTGGTGGGCAGAGCACAGATAGCCCATTGTATAGCTTTGTGCTTAATTACAAACAAAACAAAAGGATAGGTAAAGTCGATTCCCAAAATAAAATTTACTCCATATTTTAGATTAGAAATTGTGATGCAAGTATGTTTTTGGTTAGTCCGCATACAATAAGCACATATCACATTATTGTCAAGCAGGACGTGGCCTTTGGGTAAGCGTTCCAGGTCAATGAATCCGAGAACTCAGCGTTCGTGTCCCGTTCCGCAAATATTCGTTCAGCATTCTGGGGTCTTAGTGGCAGTGGAATTCCATTATTTGGTCAGACTAGAAAAACCCAGATTTCACTGTGGGTGCGCTAACTAGCCACCTTTTATTTAGTTTATAAATTCAAACATAAGGTTCGTTCGTTTGTTCTGAATTTCGCGCAAACTTACATGAGGGCTATCAGCGCTAGCCGTCTTTAATTTATCAGTGATAGACTATAGCGAAGACAGCTAGTCAACACCACCCACTGCCAACTCTTGGGTTACAAATAGTGGGATTTACCGTTACATTATAACGCTCCCACGGCTGAGAGGGGATAACATGTTTGGTGATTGGGATTCGAGTCCCACGACCCTCAGATTGCGAGTCGAGCACCCTAACCACCAGGCCACCAACTTAA